GGTACACTTGTTTTTACATTTACATGTATTTGTATGACAGAGCAAACTAAAGGAATAATGTGTTTACCTGTGGCAAATGACAATTATTGGTTTGTTTGTTGTGAGACAGACCAGTACAATGTATCAGCTTACAAAATCTGAATAATTTACTACAAGTAGTCAATTCTAAGTTTAGCCTCAAATTAAAAATAACAATGTTTGATAATTTTTGGTAAAAAGGGGGCTCAGAATAAGACGCAAATGTGACGCAAGTTCAAGGTTCCAATCCAAATAGTACAGAATAAAAAATATAACATGTTGAAGAACGATTTTGCTTTTTGAATTAAACGATTTACACGGTGCTGTAAAAAGTACACTGCGAAAATCAGCTCAAAATATTCTAACCACCATACATAGTTAAATAGCAAATGAAAAATCCAGCGATAGGGTTTTAATGCACTAGACATAGACAGGTGTGTCAATCGACTACGACATCATTGCAAACACAAAGACGAGATTTAATACAGCTCAAAATAATGGTCCGACTGACGCAACGGACAATGTAAACCTCTCCGAGGGCAAACCCTTTCGCATACATTGTGGGTGGCAGTTAATTTTATATTATGTCCAATGTGTACACTTTCAACGTAGTCCGTGCGCATTACAGCCTACAGCTGATGGGAGAATGTAACGTTAGTAAAAAAAAGAAAAACAATGAAATGTTGGAAGAGCTCGCACAGTGAATGTTAGACATTGCAACAACAACACTTCCGTCATTGTTGTGCAACCAGTGGGTAATTCAGAGCAAGTTTTAAAATAAGAACATATAGTCTACACGTTGCACAAAAATCACCAACCCCGAAATACGAGCAATCCACAAACACAACATAAAAGAAAACAAGAAAATATCCAACCTCGACACCGTACAAGTCTTTCCACGTTGTTTCGGCTCGAACACCTTCTCGGCAAAAACACAGTACTTGACAGTTGTGTCGTACTCAGACCAACCTATGCCGATAGTTGCTGAGCTAAATAAACAATGCAGCGTTATGAATTAGTTTTGTGTAGCTAAGGTACCAATTTCACTAACATTTTCCTCGTATTTCTGATAACAAAAACGTGAAAACGTGGAATATCACGAAAAGGAAACACGGCAGGTAAATTGCCCGGATGTAAACACAGTTATTTGCATATAACCCACTAAGTTAGTGACGTCATTCAACTGATTTGAGAACCCTGGTTAAATTATGATATAATAACTTTCATTTTTAAAATCCATCGTGATATTTTAAAAAAATCTATTATTTGAGTAACCACAATTTATCAAAATATACGTTAAAACAGACAAAGAAAAACATTTATTAGCACGTTGAGTAAATTAATGATGAACAAATACACGCGACTACTGATGTTAATTTCTAATTCAGATACACTAATATTCTTGAATTCACGTAAATGTACATTTTGAATATATTTTAATGGTTTAAGATTGCATCATAGTTAGATGATTTATAAATAATTAAGTAATTTTTATTAACTAGTGGACTTAACCTGTGTTAAAACTGTGTAAACAACGGTACAAAATTAAAACAAATCTCTCGTGAGTGAATACCGAATTAGGCACCAAATCTTGAACCAACTTTGTCAACATACGACTAAACCTACATCGCACTGAGATTGAGTCACTACCGGTTCATACCACTATTTGATTTCCGTGTAATTATCATTAATGCAACGTGTATTTAGAGATTTTCTGGTATTGTATGTTTTCACTTCAAAGTAACTGTTTGTTAGAATGAGCTCGGCAGAACCTCAGAGGACAGAAACAGAGGCGGCTGGGGCGGAGGGAGGGGCTACAGGTTCCAGTAGCACGAACACAACAGATGAGACGAATAACCATGAAATGTACGAGTGCAATATATGTTTAGATACTGCCAGAGATGCAGTTGTCAGCCTTTGCGGGCATTTGTTCTGGTAAGTTATCGATTATAATAGACGGTAGACGTTTCATAGTAAACCGTTTCCCGAACTTCCGCGTTATCGAATGTAAAAAAAACACACACATAAGTCATGTAGTGGCATCAGCACATCGCGCTTAGTAATGTGCTATCATGGTCACTAGTAACCGTGGTGCTGTACACATTTGATGATGGTCAACGTCATGTTCCTCTGATAGACCAGCATTTGGACATTTAACCAGATCAATCGAAATCTATTTTTGCGGCAGACGTTCGGTCCGCACCGTTCACGCCACTGTCAACAGGGGACTGTGTTCACGCATAACGTGTGCTTATCCCATTCTCCATGACGCACTATATACACTCGACTATATTACGAAAAATAATGAGGCCATAAGTCTGCTCCGTACTATATGTTGTGTCCAATATTTCTAAGATAGAAACAAAAATTGAAATGTTGTGTTTCAAAAACATTTCGAAATATAAAAAGAAACAAAAAACAGGTCACTGACCTTTTTTAAAATTTTTTACCCTGTGATTTATTACCACCATTCAGATACATTATGTAGATATTTTATGTTTAGTTTCTACTGTAGAATACTTTATTTTCGCTTGGAATATATTATCGCTATTTTTGCTGGAGGGATGATTCCGTGAAAATAAAATCCAGCGAATATACTTTTTTCCTATATTTCACATTAAACTCATCAAAAATCAGTGAAAATAAATTCCATACAAAACGCCCAAAAAGCCTTTTCAGCAAAAATTAATTCCAGCGAAAATAAAGTATTCCACAGTATATTTATTGCTTATCTTTGACATCATTGATCATGTTATATCATTGATGATTATACATTGTGCGACTATAAGGCGAGGAAATTATAAATATTTTAATATTCCAATTGACCAATCCAGCAACTGTGTTTTGACATTATTGTGAGTAATAATTAATATTAATGAGCTGATCACAATTACATTTGTAAACTGAGATACATGTACATGTTTCTGTCACACACTGTATGACTGTTCTTACAATGTCTATATTCAGTGATTAACATTGTTAATCTTGAGTGAACTGTTTTAATTTTGTGAGTGAAATTTAACTGACGATTTTGGCTTTACTCTCAAAATTTTATGGCTGTGAAAATTTATCAAGTCAGTGACTTTCGTGAAATTTGATCTTACAAATGTTATATAAATCATTGAATCTGGTTATTTTCTACCAGCGAAAACGGTTTTCACTATATTCTCAGTAACCAGATTTGTTGGACAGTAGCTTAAGATTTTTTTATCAACTTTTCAATTTGTGCTGATGAAAGCTATAGTCTGAAATGCCTGTAACAATGACGTACATGCTTTATTGTTCATGTGTGTAGTTACATAATAGCAGAGGTGTGTCTATGGTTAGAATAAGTCCTATTTTAATGATTCAGTATATTATAAATTCAATGTTTATGTGTGCTTCTATTACTACGTTTGGGTTTGCACAATCTGATTAAAATACATTTTTTGTTCGGGCTCTCTACTGTAAAATACTTCATTTTCGCTTGGAATTAATAATTTTCGCTTAAGGGATGATTCATCGAAAATAAAATCCAGCGAATATACCTTTTTTCCTATATTTCGCATTCAAACTGCTAAAAATCAG